TGGGTGCTCTGCCCATGCTCAGCCACACAGAGCTGCATGCTGTGGGGCCCAGGTTGGTGGGTTTGGGGTACTTTTGGGTGTAATCAGCCACCTTAAACCTTCCCCTGCAGTGAGGTCTGCTGCAATAACCTCTGGGACCAAGCTTCCTGCTGCCCTGTGGTGCTGAGGCAATGGGAAAGGTGCTTGGTCTGGGTGATGCTGGCACCCCATGGGTACCCCCCTCCTTGCTGGGGTGCTGGGTGTGCTCCTTTTCCTGCAAAGGGGACCCTTGACCCCCAGATGGGCCCCCTGTCCCCAGTGGTTGGTGCAGCGATGGCTGCAGTGACCTCTGGTCTGTGTGCCAGTGCTATCACTGCCGCTTCCTGGGCAGGCACTGTGCCAGTTTGCCTGGGCTCCTCTGGCTGGTGACTGCCCAGTGAGGGGGGGCCCCCCTCACCAGTCAGCCCCCACCATGTGTCCCCCTCCCCAGCAGGATGGCCGATCCAGACCCTGACCTGCGTCAGCCCTGGCCCACAGTGCATGGCATTCCCATGGTCAAAGCCTTCACCCACAACTGGGAACGTGTCGACACTTTTCAGAGTCACCCTGAGGACATTGTGGTGGTCACCTTCCCCAAATCTGGTGAGTATCCCTGAGTGTACCAGATGTGCTGGTACCACATGGGAAAGTGTGTTGTACATCTGAGGTGGGGGAAATGCAGCACATTTGGGGGCAGTCAGGACAGAGCTGTGCGGGATCCCCTTTGCCCCCTCAGTGTCTGGTTAAAGTCTGAGGGGTCGTCAGTGATCAGACACCCAATGCCACCCTGGCTGCCCCCTGATGAGTTCCTTTCCCCAGGCACCACCTGGGTCAGCGAGATTGTGGACATGATCCTGCAAGGCGGAGACCCTGAGAAATGCAAGCGGGACATTATCAGCAAGAGGGTGCCCATGCTGGAGTTCTCTGTCCCTGGGAAGTTGCCAGCAGGTAGTGAGGGGTGGGGGCTTGACCATGGACACCCCAACAGGGGCTGAGTCCTGGGAGTCTCTGCCAAGGGCCCACTGAGGAAGTGCTTTGGGATCCTCCAGGGACAGACCTGCTGGCCACCATGCCCTCACCCCGCGTGGTGAAGACCCACCTGCCGGCAGATGTATTGCCAAAATCCTTCTGGGAAAATCGCTGCAAGGTAACTCCCAAACCTGGTCTCTGCCCTGAGGGGCATTTAAGTCCCCCTGTTCCCATGAGACAGGACCCCCCACTGCTCCCTTGAGGACACTAAGTGGGCGCAGGAGTTCCGGGAGATGGAGCATCCTTCCTGTTAGGGGGCCCTGGGACTGCTCTCACACCCTGTCACCCATCTGCAGATGATCTATGTGGGACGCAATGCCAAGGATGTGGCCATTTCCTACTACCACTTTGACCTTATGAACAAGTTACAGCCACACCCTGGGACATGGGCCCAGTACCTGGAGGAGTTCATGGCCGGCAGAGGTGGGACAGGGCACCCCGGGTGCATGTGGAGACTCTGTGGGGTGCTGTCACCAACTGACATCCCCTGGCTGCTCTCCCCATGCAGTGGCATATGGCTCCTGGTACAACCATGTCAAGGGCTACTGGGAGCGGAGGAAGGATCACCCCATTCTCTACCTCTTCTATGAGGACTTGAAGGAGGTGATGGACCGGGGTGGGTGGTGGTGTGGCATCTGGGGGGGTGGCAGGAGAGGTGAACATCAGCCTGTGTCCCACAGGACCTCCGCCGGGAGATTATCAAGGTGGCCCAGTTCCTGGGGCACGAGCTGTCAGAGGCAGCACTGAACATCATCACCCGACACACTTCCTTTGAGGCCATGCGGGACAACCCCACCACCAACTACAGCAAGGTGCCCTCTGACCTCATGGACCACAGCGTGTCCCCCTTCATGCGCAAAGGTGAGCAGCTCTGGGGGGCTGCAGGTGCCCTGTCCCCCCGTCCCCTGCTGAGCCCCATCTCACCCCGCCTCAGGCACCACCGGAGACTGGAAGAACCACTTCACCGTGGCCCAGAACGAGCGCTTTGACCAGGACTATGCGCAGAAGATGTCGGGCACCGACCTGCGCTTCCGCACTGAGATCTGAGGAGACACCGCTAGACACCCCCC